TGGCTTTCTGCTCACACAGCTCCAGTCCACTCTGCCCTCCCTCTGCAGGAGCACAAGGTGGGTGGCTCCACAGGGAATTTTGTACTTTGGCCCTTTAAGAGGGTGCCTGAGTTTCCAGCTGTCTCTCTCTAGCAGACAGCAACCCCACTGCTTTACACAGCCAGATGTTATGTGGGCACCCTTCTCAGTTCTGATGCTCTCTACTGGGGGACCCAGCTTGGGGATTAGACCCCAGAGTTCTCAGTGGCAACCCTCCACCGCTGAGGTATCTTTCTGGAACTTCAGTTGCTGTCTGTGGGAGCTCGGCCAGTCTTTTCGTGCCTCCGTCCCTCCTACCAATCTCTATGCAGTCTCCACTTCGGTCCTCGGTTATTAGGGTTCTCTCCAGTGAGTCTCTGTTGGTTATTCCGGAAATTTTTCTATATTTTAGTTGTAACTCCAGTTTGGTCCTGGGAGCGTGTCCGTGCAGCATCCACTTACTCCGACACTATTTTTAATCTGTCTAATCCCACTGCTATTTTGTGACATTCTTCTTGATGGACTTAGATGGGGATGAACTTTTGAACCAAGAACATCACCATCAACCTTCCTGCACCAGGTGGAGCCTTTCCTGCACTTTGTCTGAAGTTTGAAGTGTCAGGCTCCCACTGCCTGAGTCCACACAGACACTGGACACCACCCTTCTCCAAAAAAGAGAGCAGTGAGCTCTAAGAAGAGTCCATGCCAAAATGTTTTTGCCAAATATTAAAAACTGAGGTTGTCAGCACCACACACTGTAGGGACGGACGTGCATTTCACAGGGTGACGCCCATGGCTCTGAAGCTGAATTCAGAGGCAGGAACAGGCCGGCCGCCTGGCAGAGCTGTGCTGGAACCCAGCCTTGCCTCAGCTGCTGCATGAACCAGTCAACAGGTTCACATTTCTTCACACAACTTAGATGTGAAAATACCCATCAAATGAGGATGGAAAGCGTCAAACTTCATCACTGTGACTTTTCTTAGTCACACACACCGATGGTTGTCCTGAGGGGCGGGCACTGCGCAGAGTGTCAGGGGTGGTAATGAAAGAGCATGTGGCACTTACTGCCTTTTTTTTAAAAAAATATTTTTATTGATTTCAGAGAGGAAGGGAGAGGAAAAGAGAGATAGAAACATCAATGATGAAAGAGAATCATTGATCGACTGCCTCCTGCACACTCCACACTGGGGATCAAGCCCGCAGCCCAGGCCTGTGCCCTGACCAGGAATCGAACCATGACCTCCTGGATCATAGGCCAATGGTCAACCACTGAGCCAGGCCAGTTAGGCTCATCCTGCTTGTAAGAGGCTTGTGAGATGAATGAGAAGACAAGCCCTTTAGATCGAACAATCAGGGCCAAAACAGGAAAGTTCTTTAGAGCCAGGGTGCAGAGTGTGACAGACAGTTCAGGAGGCCCTAAGGGCCGCGGCCCTCACTCCTCAGAGGCAAGGCCCAGGCTCCTGGCCCCAGTCTGTTTCCCTGCTCCAGAGGAGTGGCCACGGATCTCACAGCAAGTCTGTGCATGAGGCAATAACCAGACACACGGTCAGGTGCTCCTGCTGTTGGGGGAGCCTGAAGGAGCCACGTGTGAAAAAGACAGAAGTGGACTTGCCTGGGGCTGCTACTGAGTCAGGAGTGACCACAGCGGCTCCAAGGACCAGGGCACATGCCAGTCATGACGTAGGAGACAGAGGGATACTTCCTGTGCTTCTTCCATTACAATAAGACCCTACTACTTAAGATTACCCTTAGAGTCCACACATATGATGCATATAATGAATTTTTATAAGAGACCAAGAAGAGATACAATACCCAAATATGGCACTGTCTCTAGAATACATAAAGCACTCATGAAGTGGGGAGAGACATCCCTGAGGCAGGCCACAGCTATGGCTCAGGTTCTCATGTGTAGCTTCCACTGTGTGTATATTTGAAACAGATGGAAAGGGACAGGTACTGGAAACAGAGGTTACAGAAGTCAAAAGTGTTCCCTAGGTAGCATCCGTCCCAAGGAAAGAAGCATGGAAAGGAGTGAGGATGATGCTAAAGTGGCCTCTGTAGTCACCGGAACCAGAGAGCCTGCTCTTGATGGGAAGCAGCCAGGGGAAGGCTCCCTTCTCCAGGGACCAGTGGGCTGGACGGTCTTTCAGTGTGTGCTGGGGTCTGATGAAGAAACGCCCTCCTCCCACCTTCTTGCCAGTGCTGCCTCACACTCTGCAGGCACCTGCATGTCCGACCAATTACAGCTTCATTCGTGAGTATCTGTTTCTGAAACCCTTCTCCCCTAAATACACTAAATGCTTTCTCGTACAAAAAGCGTTAATAGAAAATACACCTTAAACTTGACTGGACTTTTTCTTATTAATGTATCAGTTATACCACATTCAACATGACTTGGAAGAAAAGTTATATTTTACCACCCCTCCCCCAAATCACAGTAAAACAGTCAGAGAGAGGAGAGAAAGAGAAGCTATGACAGGGAGACAAGCTGGATTCCCGGAACTAAATAGAGTAGGGGAGGTTACCGAGTAGGAGAGTCAAAGGGATGAGCCGGGCGAGGTCTGCAGGCCCACGGGGGACGCAGGAGAGGCGGGGACACAAGCACCCTCTCCCTCGGGAGCAAGTCTGTGCTGGAAGGCACTCAGCTCTACTGTAAGGGAGCGGGCAGGACGGGGGTGAGGGACGGGCGTCTGGAAAGTGGTTCATTAAATATAACAATTTACACTAAACCATGGACTGTTGCCTCAAGAAGCATCACTTCTTTCATTTTCATTTCAGCAAGAACAAAAGAACAACCCAGGATTTAAGAACCAAATTCCTTTCCTATGACATAGTCTATGGTCATCAGAATAAAATTAACTCCTTGCCCCACTCGGAAAACAAACCAAGAAAGAGAAAAAGGATGTTATCTCTGACTATTATCTAATGAAGTTCACCAAGATGTAATAATCAGTCATCAGGAAATGAATCCAAACAATGAGAGTCCTAATAGTTCCCCGAATGTGAGAAAGACTGTTTCTACTAGAACATGAAGGTTATGGGGGATCAACAATTCTCCAACAGCACTTTACACTAATGGGCACTAGCTCTCACACGTGCAGACGTGTAAACTAGTGGGAACTCACTCACACGTGCAGACGTGTAAACTAATGGGAAGTAGCTCTCACACAGGCAGACGTGTAAACTAATGGGAAGTAGCTCTCACACAGGCAGACGTGTAAACTAATGGGAAGTAGCTCTCACACAGGCAGACGTGTAAACTAATGGGAAGTAGCTCTCACACAGGCAGACGTGTAAACTAATGGGAAGTAGCTCTCACACAGGCAGACGTGTAAACTAATGGGAAGTAGCTCTCACACGTGCAGACGTGTAAACTAATGGGAAGTAGCTCTCACACAGGCAGATGTGTAAACTAATGGGAAGTAGCTCTCACACAGGCAGACATGTAAACTAATGGGAAGTAGCTCTGACACAGGCAGATGTGTCAAGCATATACTGAAGAAGAACTCCATCCCCTTCCTCCATAAGAACAGTCCCTGAACAAACAGGAGTGTTTTCTCCCTAACAAGTACGTGTTCTCTTCCCTAGGAACCCACTACTCACCCGACTTCAGCCCGTGGCTGCACACCTGCTGTTCCTAACAGATACTTTCCTGTTTTGATGAAATGGCAAAGTTTTCCTGAACCTAAGTGTTCAAACATCCCTCTGGAGTAACTTCTGTCGCATTTACTTCAATGCGTTCATCCTCACATCCCTCGAGTGTCTTCTTCACGGCGCTGGACCCGTGTTTAAGTTCCCTCTTACTCCACTTTGAACAGAACTGTGTGGGCCCTGAAGCAGGTGCCTGGGCTCACCAGCCAGCAGTTGCTGAGTGCGTCTGGAAACCCACTCTCGACTGCCCCCTGCTGCTGAAGCGACTGTGGCTGCTGCTGCGGCAGAAACACAACCCTGGGTCCCGAGGCCAAAAACACATGAAAAGCTTGATTTCCCTCATCTTCAAGGGTCAAGTCTCTGCTCCTAAAGTCCCGGGCGCCTGGGTACTGACACCTGAGGAAGAGAACGGGCTTCCTGGGAAGCTCAGTGGTGACAGCAGCAGACACTGCACTGTGGACTCCACTGCTGGAACATGCTTATTTAGATCCACACCCCTCCACATTCTTAAAGTAATAAAAAATAAAAATAAAAACCTAGGATACAAACCAGCAATTCTAGCTCATTCATTTGTTCCTGGTTTAACAGAGAGCACAGAAATATTCATACGGCAACTCCATGAAGAATATGTTTTCGTTTTGTAGTAAAAATGGAATAAACTGTGATGTGTTTTTCCATTCGCTTTAACATGTAACATTCAGAAGTGCTCGTATAAACACTGACTTTTACATAACCTGACTAGTATCTGACACGTCTTTCACCAACAGGAGTAAACATTTGCTGAAGGAGAGAGAGGAACAGAACCTCAGGACCCAGAACCAAACACCCCAGGACCACTGCTCTACCCCGCCCACAGCCACTGCACTGCCACTGCCCACAGCCACTGCACTAACCAGCCCAGGACCACTGCACTATCCAGCCCACGCCCACTGCACTAACTAGCCCACATCCACTGCACTACCCAGCCCATGGCCATCCGAAACCCACTTATGCGACTTCAATTTCTCATTAACCGCTGGGAATCCCATCACAAGCCTAAACAGAAACCTATATGTTTTTACCTCCCCTTTGGTTTTAAACAAACAGTATGGCTAAGGGATGACAACAACATCAGTGAGGAGTTTATGTTGCCTAAAGACACAGTCCCTGTCTGGCACCAACCCCACGCTCACCCTCACGGCGGCAATGGGCCCGGCAGGTGCCACAGCGCTGCGCCAGCTCCATGTGCTCCCACGGCTCCCTTCACGGCCTTGTCCCCCAGGGCTCAGCCCGACACCCTGTACAGAGCAGGTGCTCAAAAACGTGTCCTTTAACCTTCCAAATGCACTTACCCTTCGAAATGACACGACATAAAACGTGTCTCCCCGCCTGTGGATGGCGTCAAAGAAGTCTTGGTAGCTTCGGGGGGAAGCGTAGTACACCTGGAGCTCCCTCCCCGAGGGCCTGCTGAGAGAGGAGGCGGTGTTCTTATACCACAGACTGTCACAGCGTCTCAGAAGCATCCATTCTAAGCCTGCGTCTGCCTATGGGAATCTCAACCAAAATATGAGCAGCCTTTCGGCAGTTTTCTAGAAGTTTGAAAGCCCAAGGTCGGAGAGTTGTAAGATTCAATTCACTGAGGCTGACTCGCTTCTGAGTCGAGACTCAGATAGTCACGTGTGCTGGGACGCACGTGGAGGTCACAGGAGCATCAGCCAGCAGCTTTCTGCGCCAGCGTGCTTGCCGCTGGATCTCTGTGAACAACGCGTCTGAGGACAGCAGTGCTCCCCACTGTCAGCTTAGGACTCGAGAACAAGCCGGCCTGGCTGTGCCTGCCTGCCCTCCTCTTCCAGGGGTGTCCTTGGGGAGGCCCAGCTCTGAGCAACCCTGGTTTCCTCGCCAACAAAAGGACTGCAATTGGGTGGAGGCTGAGATGCGTGCGTGAAGCACCCGGGCCTGCTCGGCGGCACTGCTCAGCTCCGCTCTGCTCTGCCACCTCGCTGCCGAGCCAGGACAGAGCGCCCGGCCCAAGATCCACTCAGACGACAGTGACACGGCTCTCAGCAATAAGGGTCTTTCACTGTTTAGCACAATAAGCCAACACACATAGGTTAAAGGAGAGTTAAAGAAATAATGCTTGCCAGAACCGGTTTGGCTCAGTGGATAGAGCGTCGGCCTGCGGACTCAAGGGTCCCAGGTTCGATTCCGGTCAGGGGCATGTACCTTGGTTGCGGGCACATCCCCAGTGCGGGGTTGTGCAGGAGGCAGCTGATCGATGTTTCTCTCTCATCGATGTTTCTGACTCTCTATCCCTCTCCTTCCTCTCTGTAAAAAATCAATAAAATATATTTAAAAAAAAAAAAAATAAAAAAATAATGCTTATTTTTCTCAAGAAAAAAACAAGCTTACATGTTTTTTTCTACATTCTTCTTTTGTGTTTTCAATGAATTTATTTTTTTTCAATTAATTTTTGTTAACTTAGGAGGAGAAAAGAGTGGCCTAAAAGGAAATTAATTATATGTGAGTCGTAAGAACTTCCTTTGAAATAATTCCATCTGCTCACTAGGCCATTTCTGACTATAGTGTCTTGAATATACAGTCAATTATTACTCATGACATTTATGTTCTGTGGACACTGACTCAGCAAACAGTGAACCACTCCCCTAAGGGACAGCAGGGTCAGCAAGCCCCTGGCTGCAGCGCTGTCATCGACTGATCAACGTGTCACCTAGTTTTCTGTGTTCTGTTCAGATACCTTCTGACCATGTACTGTTTGCTCACTAACTCTGACCTCGGGTGGCTCTGGTCTGACTGAAGCTCCCCCAACAAGCCCTTTCTCCCGGGTCACCGATCCGATCCACCCTCCGGCGCCGGGAACATCAGCACTCCGCATGCACTTGGGCCATTTTAAACAGTGAAATTGCCAACCAAAAGCACAGGGATGTGGGGACCATGGCACTGACACCTGGGAAGGACACCTGCCCCAGGAAGCAGGGCGCTGCCCTGGTGACCTCACCTGGGAGCAGCTACGCACATTTGCAAACGACCATGAAAGCAATTTGCGTCACAAGGACATCTTAGCAAGCAGGTGGGTTCACAGATACAGAATCCATGACCAGGTGCGGCCACACTCTCTCACCTGATGCTGGTGGTCTCTGTGTACTGGACAGCCACGAGCTGAGAGCCGGAGCTCTGTCCCAGAGCGCCCTGGAAGAAACAAAGGACTCAATGTAATGAAATCATATGAAGACCTTCTGACACTGACTCATTCTACATTCACGTTTAATGAACTCTCATTAAAGCATTCATATAGTTTTTTTCATGGCTAGTCTGACATATGGAGTTTATATGACTCAGTGCCAACACAGAAATCAGAACTCCTGTGGTCACATTCTGGACTGAGGGATGCGTCTTATGGAGGTTATGACATTTAAGACACTTCCCATAAAGTTTTTTTTTAAATAGCCCAAAAGCTTAGTCCAACCATCACAAGTTTTATGACCAGGTCATATAAGTATTATTGAAAATATAACAACTTATGTTTGCTAAAATAATTATTTTCCCAATGAAAAGTTCCTGAAGTATGAAAGATCCTTAATAAAGCTAGATCCTACTGTTTACTGAGTTAAACGCAAAAACCTTCATGCCTAAATACAGCTATGGATGAAGCCATCATTAAGGAGAGCTCCCCAAAATAAGCAAGACTTGTCCCTAGACTCAGACATGACCAGGCTGTAAAAAACTGACTCACACAGACATTAGGCAAATAGAAACTGGACAAGCCATTTAGCTATCAAAGACTTAACACCAATTAACATAGAAACCTCTGAAAAACTGGTACAGTTTTGACATTAGTAGTTATAGGGATTGGACAAAAGATCAAAATCAGCAAAAATGTGAGTTAAACAGTACCATGGAAATGAGATTTTACATAAAGCTTTCAGTTTTGTTGTAGATTTGTCCACTTTTCCATCTAGTCCTGTCATAGTTTTGCTTTACGTATGTTGAAGCTTTGTTATTAGGAGCCTATGTATTTAGAACTCTGTCTTCTTCATTAAGCGTACTCTCATCACTATGAAATTTCCATTGTCACCTCTTGTAATATTCTCTGTCTGGAAGTCTACTTTGTCTGATTAATGTAGCCACAGCAGCTTTCTAATACTTAATGTTTGCAGAGTATCACACTTTTTCACCCATTAATTTTTCATCTATGTGTGCTTATATATAAAATGAGAGGCCAGCTGCATGAAATTCATGCACTGGGGGGAGGGAGGAGCATCAGGCCTAAGCCGGCAGTCGGACATCCCTCTCACAATCTGCGATCCCTCACTCCTTACCACCCACTTGCTCACTCCTTACCACTCGGCTCACTGCTCCTTAGCGCTGCTGTGGAGGCGGGAGAGGCTCCCACCACCGCTGCTGCGCTCACCAGCCGTGAGCCAGGCTTCTGGCTGAGCAGCTGCTCCCCCTGTGGAAGCACACTGACCACCAGGGGGCAGCTCCTGCATTGAGCATCTTCCCCTGGTGGTCAGTGCGCATCATAGCGACTGGTTGTTCCGGTTGTTCTGCCGTAATGGTCGCTTAGGCTTTTAATATATAGACTAGAGGCCCAGTGCACGAAATTCGTGCACACGTAGAGTCCCTAGGCCTGGCCAGTGATAAGGGCCTATCAGGTTCCCCACCTGCCTGCCTCCCCGCCTCCTCCTTCCCTCGCTCCCTCAGCAACTTGCCACCGCTGCTGGTCACCTGCCATGTTCTGTGCCACCCCCTGGTGGTCAGCACACATCATAACGAGCAATCAAACTCCCGGTCTCCCAAACTCCCAAGGGGACACTTTGCATATTAGCCTTTTATATATATAGACTAGAGGCCCAGTGCACAAAAATTTGTGCACTCGGGTGGGTCCCTCAGCCCGGCCTGTGCCCTCTCGCAGTCTGGGGCCCCTCGGGGGCCCCTTCCCCTGGCTGCTGGCACCAGTTTTCCTCCGGCACCCGGAACCCAGGCCTTCGCTCTTTGCTGGGAGGGGCTAGCGAGGCAGGCGAAGGGCTTAGCTCTTCGCTCACTGTGCGGGCCCCGGGGGCGAGGCCAAGGCCGGCGCAGTGGGCAAAGGGCTTAGTGCGCTTTTTTTGTTGCCGAGGAGAGCATGGGGTCCGTTTATTGGGGGGTCAGTCAAAGGGGGGGCTGACTAGGGTGGGATAGGGCAGCAGCTTGTCTGGCCCCCGAGAAACCCAACTTGAGTCCAGGGCCTCGTCCGCTTCGAAGCCAAAGTCTTCCTCCACCTTTATCTGCACGGGGGCCAGCTCCGGAGTCAGCGGGACTCCCGCCCAGCGCCCTTCCCATGGCGCTCACCGCCTCTTCCACCCGCTGGGCCCCTTGCCAGGGGCCGGGCTGCTGGCTTCTGCGGGCGCTGGCGTCCTCCTGGGCGGGGACAGCCCCTCTTTCTCCAGAGGCTCGTTCTCAGTGTTGCCTGGGGTGGGGGCATCTGTGCCCTGGCTGCCCTCGTCCTCCAGTAAGATGGTGAACTGGCTGGCCCAGTAGTCGTCGCCATAGGAGTCCAGCACCCTCATGAGGAACCTCCGCTCCTGCTGGAGTCTCCGTGTTATCCTCTGTACCTGATGGAGCCTGTTCAGGACCCACTCGTTCACCTGCTCGATCTCCCTGCAGCGCCGACCCAGCGCCTGGTACTTCCTGCGACTGAGTTCCCGTTGGTGCCGCCGCCGGCCTTGGGCTGCCTCCTCCTCTTCGTCTCGCTCCCGGAGGCTGGAGCTGCCCAGACCCCCAGACACGTTCTCAAGCTCGCTCTCCAGGATGTGACCACTGAACAGCAGAGGCAGCGCCAGCTCTGAGCCGGGAGGTGCTGAGAACTCCTCAAAGCTCACGGCTGCCATGGTCCCCTCTCTCTGCTCCAGCTCTATTTCTCCCTGGCTCCCGGTGCAGAATTTCCAACCTTGCAAACCTCTAGGTTAAAGTAGCTCACAAAACGACACGCCCCATCCGATTCCACAGCCAGGCACCCGGGCCCCAGCCGCTAAGCCTCCTGGGAGTTGTAGTTCTCTATTTCCGGCTCGCCTCCCTCGCCCCACCCCGAGTCCCGGCTGAAAGGCCCTGCTTGCTGGTCTAACGCCGCTGCCAGGCATCTGAGTCGCCTCCGTCTTTATTCCTGTCCCAACACCATGCCATCTGACCACGGAGACTCTCCACTTGGGAGGCCCGGTCCTCTCCGCGGACTCTCCGCAGGCCCCAGGGGCGTGGCGGAGGCCGGCTCGGCGGGCTTCCCTCTTTGCTCTTCGCTCCCCACGCCAGCCTTCGCTTGCTGCTCCTGTGCCTACATATGCAAATTAACCACCATCTTTGTTGGCGGTTAATTTGCATATCGCCCTGATTAGCCTATGGGAAGCGTAGCAAAGGTACGGTCAATTACCCTTCTTGTCTTTTATTAGATAGGATATTATTTCTTGCAAACAGCATATAGTTGGGTCTTACCTAGTTTGACAATCTCTCCCTTTAAACTGATGGGTTTATTTACCCTATTACATATTTTTGCAAATGTGGCTGGGCTTAAGTCTACTATCGTGGTATGTATTTTCTATTTGCTCTTTATTTGTTTGTTCTTTCCTGCTTTCTTTTGGTCAAAATACATTTTTTTAGTATTCCATTTATATTTCCTGTACTGGTTTTATAGTTTTACTTCTTTGTGTTAGTTTTTACAGGTTGCTCTTGAGACTATACTTTGATCTTTAAGTTACCATAGCCAACCCTGAAGTATTATTTGAACATATAAAAACTTTGTAAGAGTATATTGTATTTACTACCTCTATACCTTTCTGTTCTTATCGTATATTTTACTCCTACATAACCTGTAAACCCCACCAAAAAACTGTTCTGAGTTTTGCTTTAAAAAAAACACAAGCCTCCGAAAGACATTTATAAACACACAAACACAAAATAAAGATACTTACAGGGGGCATTTATGTTCACCAAACATTCACCAATCCTGGTGCTCCTCCTCATGCATCAGGGTTCTACCTGAGACCATTTAGTCCAAACATCCTCCTTTAGTATTTCTTATCATGCAGATCTTCTAGAGCAGGGGTCCTCAAACTTTTTAAACAGGGGGCCAGTTCACTGTCCCTCAGACCGTTGGAGGGCCGGACTATAGTTTAAAAAAAAACTATGAACAAATTCCTATGCACACTGCACATATCTTATTTTGAAGTAAAAAAACAAAACGGGAACAAATACAATATTTGTATTTGCATGTGGCCTGCGGGCCGTAGTTTGAGGACCCCTGTTCTAGAGAGAAAGTATAATAGTTTCGTCCATCTGGAAATATCTTTATTTTGCTTTCATTTTGAAAAATATTTTCACTGATTTGACCGTCTAACTTTTCTAAAAACTTAGTCTAGGAAGAGGTAGAATTATAAAGTGACACAAGCCAAATCATGTATATAATGCTTAGAAATGAAAGAAACTTCAAAGAAATGTCAACTCGTCAATATACGAAATATCTTAGTGTCCATCTAGCATCCGAGAGGGGAGATGTGAGGGGAAAGGCTGAGAGGAGAGAGGAACTAGGCAGCGCAGCTGCAGGCTCAGCGCTGAGGGCGAGTCAAGGAACGCTGTGAGCTCAGGTGTGGACAGCAGCCTGACCGAGGACCCTTCTCCCTCCTCTGAGTGGGCCTTGTCCCCTCAGCTAACACTGGTCCTCCCTACCCCACCCATCTTTCCTTTCCCTGTGATAGCTTCGTGTCCCACATTTCTGACCTCTATCCACACTCACACAGAGAGACATGCACCCAAGATGCAGAGAAAGGGACAGGAGTAAACTACAAATCTCCCTCAAATGTTCCAAGGTGCCCTAACCGGTTTGGCTCAATGGATAGAGCATCGGCCTGTGGAATCAAGGGTCCCAGGTTCGATTCCGGTCAAGGGCATGTACCTTGGTTGCAGGCACATCCCTAGTGGGGAGTGTGCAGGAGGTAGCTGATCGATGTTTCTCTCTCATCGATGTTTCTGACTCTCTATCCCTCTCCCTGCCAAATTACACAAAATTATCTTCATTGCATTAAAATTCCTTCCAGATTATGGAACATCAACCACCCTTTACACAGTAAATTCTATTTATTCTTCTAATAAACAGAATACAATCACAAGAAATTCTATCAAAAAATACAGCAAAGCAACTCATTCAGGCCAAGGATTTTAATCTAGATTCACGAAGCCCATGCATCAGCTGTGGAATTCTCCACTCCTGCCACCCTTCGCTCTTCCCTGCACAGCAAGGACACACGCCCCAAAATGATGTTGCTGAACATTTAGCCCCCAGGGTTCTGGATTCTATTTTGGTCCTGCCCACAAGCTGTGCTCGATGCACCAGATCTGGAAGCGCAAGGAGACAGAGCACTTCTCCTCTGGCCACGGTGGCCAACGTGCAGCTGTGGGAGCGTGAGTTCCCGCAGGACTGTGTGCTGCACGCCATGCCATGAGCAGCTGTGGGACACTGCACTGCCTGTGACACTGGCAATGATGCCAGTAGCCTCCAGAAGTCCTCGCAACCAATAAAGTTGCCATGATATGTGAACAAAGGGTATTGGGGAGGCCAGAGAGGGACACACTAAGGATGTCGGAACCTGAGCTCCTCTAGACCTGGCCTCCTCAGTCACTGCTCAGAGGACACCATGGGGATGTACATCAGACTGTGTGGGGTGAGAAACCAATTCTTATTCCATTAGGCTACTGAGAATTTGAGGCCAGATGTTACAATTGCCAGCGTTAATTACCTTGCCAATACCTCACTCAAGTGGAATCTCTCTAGAGCAGTGG